GGGTCGGGAGGGGACAGGGGCGCGTGGAGAGGATGTAGGAACACAGGCATGGAGAAAATGGGGAGACAGACACCGGAGGACGCAGACGTGGGGGCCTCGGCACGGGGCGCGACTCTGAGGGGCGAGGAAGAGGCAGGGAACTGGGGAGGGGGTAGGTCCGAGGACGCTAGGAAAAGTTTGGGGCGAAGGGGAGGAGTCCGCCGTGGGAGCGCCTCCTTCGGGGCAACGACCTTTCCCCTAGTTCCCTGCCACGCCCCCTCCAAGAAGCCTGTCACTTACCCTCCGGGTTCCGCCTCCCTCTCTGGAAGCCGTTTCCCATTGGTCCCCCTCTGCTTGACACACCTCCCTCGCTCCGGCCTTCCGATTGGTCCTCTGTCGGGGCGGAGGCGGGCCGCGGAGGTTGACAGGCTGGCGGCCGGGGCGCAGGCGCAGAGAAGGCCGAGGAGGCGGGGCGTCGGGGCCGAGAGGCCGAGGCGCAGCCTGACCCCCAAGGGTGGCTGCGGCTGGAAGATGGCGGAGCTGCGCGCGCTCGTGGCTGTCAAGAGGGTCATCGACTTCGCCGTGAAGGTGACCGGGCCCCCCCTCTCCCATCTCCCTGTGCCCTGAGGCCGTGCGATTCCGGGGTCACTAGTGCACCCTGTATGGGGGGTTCTTCTCGTAACCTCTGATCTCTAACCTCTCCCCTCCAAACGTCAAAGTCACACCTGAGGGCAAAGATCAAGGCCTGTGAGGCTCTGACATCCGCTCGCTCCGCTGGGGTTACGATCCCGCCTCTGAACTCAGCGTCTCAGTAACTGGGTGCAGGGCGAGTGATGGCCTCTGTCTCCCACCTGCTGGTGGAGTCACGGCCCCTGTGTAACACACGGAGAAACTGAGGCACAGAGAGGCCCCTGAGCCGGGAAGGGGCAGAGCAGAGGTGCCTGTCCGGGCCCTCCCGACCCCTCACCCCACCAGGGCTTTGCACACAAGCCATGCTTCTACCCACGAGGCTGCACTGCAAACCCTCTGACCATTGCAGTGCAGGAGACGTGCCATCAAGGGGCTCAGACCGGGTGCCAGGGGAGCCCCGAGGATGTGTCCCACCCTACATAGCTGGAAGGGAGGGAAGAGTGTGTGCTCCAGACGAAAGCCCGTCTGATGAGTTGTTGGGATGGCTCCCATCCTCCATGGGACGGCTCGGGGGACGGCTCTGAGAGCCTGGCTTGTCCCCAGAGAGAAGCTGGTGGGGACAGAGGTGAAGCAGACACACTCCCGCAGGCCACTTTCTTTCAGGACTTGACCTAAACCAGACAAGGTGGTGGCTGCCCAACCATGTCTGCCCCCTACCCATCCATGTCTGTGCCCCGCTTGCCTTTATGTCCCCAGCATAGATCCTCTGTGTCCCCAGCATTGCCCTGCACAGGACCTGGCATGCTGGAGGCCTCAGGGTGGGTGAAACTGGGGCCCCTGCCAGGTTGGGGTACGTGGTGGGGAGGAGGGCCCAGGAGCCAGGTCTGGGCATGAAAACTTCAGCGATCATAACAGCTCGTATTTGGTGGATACTTAACTGTTCACCAGGCAGCATCCTAAGTCCTTGGCTGAGATGAACCCATTTAGCCCTTTCAGCACCTTCTAGATCAGCGATTTTCAGCCAGTGTGCCAGGGCACTGGTGTGCTGCAGAAATTTTTAAAACATGCAATACCTGACTATTTAGTCAGGGGCACTGACCTTTTCCCCCTTAGCTTGTCAAATAAAAATGAGAGCAGCCAACACAACCATAGCTGTCTGGTGTGAATGAATCGAAAGTACACTTTTTTTTTTTTGTCAGATTGGCAAGAAAAAGGATCATGTATTTTTGGGTGTGCCACAGAATTTGAGTAATTAGTTTGTGTGTGCCGTGAGATGAAAAAGGTTGAAAATTGCTGCTCTAGACTTATTAATCGTGTTACACAGGCGGGGAACTGAGGCCCGTGAAGGGTCTGTTACTTGCCTGACCATCCAGCAGGCAGCGACAGGTAGTATTGAAACAGGCCAGGCCTGCTCCAGTCTGCACTCTTCCCACTCCATGGGACAGCCGTCCGCCTCCTGGCAGCTTTGGCAGCTTTGGCAGCATATGGCAGGGGTGTGGCCGCCAAGCTTTTGGAGAGCTTCTCCTGTTGGATTTCTGGGATTCAACTTTCCTAGTTTCCTCCCACCTCTGCCTGCTCCTTTGGGCTCCATAGTCCCCCTGGGCTCCTGTCAACCCTGATCTATCCCCAGCCCTGGTCCCTGGCCCGAGATGGCTGGGATTCTATCTGTCTCCCCTACCAGGCAGGCTCATGTTTAATCAGCTCTGGGTCCCAGCATCACCCAGCCCAGGGCCGGCAATGGGTGCCTCCGCTCTGTGTGCTGCGAGAGCAGAAAAGTGAAGCATCCTGGTATCGGCTCCTGAGCTTTCCCAAAGTGTGGGTGCTGCGTGCCCCTCCCAGGGCCCCCTCCATGGCATCCTGCCTCTATGGGTGTATCTGTTGATGTCCCTTTCTGAACAAATAAATGATTCAAACACCGGCAACAACCTAATCACCCGGCCAGACCCCGGGCACCCCTCCTTCCCTCACCTCCCACAGCCCATCAGCTGGGGATTGCACCCACTGCCTAGGTATGTGCCCTGACCGGGAATCAAACCCACAACCTTTTGCGTGTATACGGGGACAATGCTCCAACCAACTGAGCCCTAGCCAGGGCTGAAATGACTGTTTAAAAACGAGATGATGGTGATAGAAAATGACGGTTGTCCTTTTTCTCTTTCTCTCACCTTATAATGTTTCCGGTGCCTAAGGCACAGCCAGGCTGGGAAGCCCTGCTGGAATCCCAGATTCTCACTTCTGATTCTGTCCTGCCAGTGGGAGGGACAGCCACACCCACCATTCCCAGAGAGGAAGGTGCAGGGAAATAGTAAGAGTGTCCCAGTGTCCCCCAGCTGGGCTAGGACTGCTTTGGCCAGACGTTTGGTGGCAGCCACATGGGAGAAGAGAGAAGGCAGGCCCCAGGCTGGGTCGTGCAGGCTCCTCTGGGAGTCTCATCAGCCTCTTGAGCACAGAGAGCCTAGAGCCGAGGTCAGCATCCTCCTGGCTGGACAAATGTCCCACCAGAACCCTGAGAGTCCTCTTGGACTCTCCCTCCTCACCCCACCAAGCACCCTGTCGAGCACCAAGTTCTACCTCCAAAGACTTTTCCAGTCCTTCTGCCTCTCCGCCTCCACTGTCAAGGCTGCCCGAGCCACTATCATCTCTTGTTTCAATGACTCACAGCCGCCCAGTGGTCTCACCACTTCTGCTCTTGCCATTTTTCCAATTTTCTTCATTAAGAACATACATGACCTTGTCCAGCTCAGGGCCAGGCACACAGCTGCTGCTCAGGGAAGATGCACCCCTGTGAGGAAAGGTTTGCTTGTCCCACCCCCACCTTCGCCCGTGGGGCAGAGAGGCCTTGAAGCTGGTGTTTTTCAAACTCCATCGTGACCATGTGTTGATCATTAAATCCATGTAGAGGGCTGACATTAGGGAAAAAAGAATAGCTCTGACCTGTGTGGCCTCCTCCCATGTACCGAAAGGTTGAGGGTTCCATTCTGGGTCAGGGCACATGCCCAGTTGTGCCCTGGATCCCCAGTAGGGGGCGTGCAGGAAGCAGCAGATAGATGTTTCCCGATCTCGCTCTCCCTTCCTCTCTCTCTAAAATCAATTAAAAAAAAAAAAAAGAATAGAAAATGTCATGGTATAGTGTATAAAGTAAAGGTAAGTGTCCTTCATCGAGCCTCACATTGCAGTGGTATTTATATTTATATGTAAATATATATATGTATTTATAATATAGTTGGGGATATCATCAAATGTATTTCTCACTGTGGGTGACGATAAAACTTTGAGAAATGCTCTTTCAGGTCCAAGGAACAGCGACAGAGTAGGGACGAGCACATCAAATGCCCCTGGTGTCAGGGAATGCCTGCAGGAGAGGGTGAGAGGGCCACCCTCCACCCGCCTGTAGTCTCAGCCCACTCTGTGCCTGGAGCTGTGGAGCCCTGGGCAAGGCCCTTCCATCTCCAGACCCCTGTTGTCCCCATCCAGCCTGTCCGAGGGTTGGTGCTGTGGCCCTGACCTCTGACCCCGTCCCTTCCCCTCCTGGCTGGACAGATCCGAGTGAAGCCGGACAAGACGGGTGTGGTGACAGATGGCGTGAAGCACTCCATGAACCCCTTCTGCGAGATCGCTGTGGAGGAGGCCGTGCGGCTCAAGGAGAAGAAGCTGGTGAAGGAGGTTATAGTTGTCAGCTGCGGGCCCAACCAGTGCCAGGTGCCAGGGCCTGGGAGGGGTGCTCAGCCTGGCCCCCTGGGTCTGAGGGAGGAGGGGCTGGGGGCCTGGACTCCTGGGTCTGAGGGAGGAGGGGGCTGAGGGCCTGACTTTGGGTCTGACAGAAGAAGAGGCTGGGGGCCAGGCTCCTGGATCCCCCTGGTGCTAGAAACGGGAGTCAAGCCCACCCCTCTCCTGGACAGGAGACCATCCGCACTGCTTTGGCCATGGGCGCAGACAGAGGCATCCATGTGGAGGTGCCGGCTGCAGAGGCAGATCGCCTGGGTCCCCTGCAGGTGGCCCGGGTCCTGGCCAAGCTGGCAGAGAAGGAGAAGGTGAACCTGGTGCTGCTGGGCAAGCAGGTGGGTGTGCTCAGCCCCTTCCCCCCCAGGCCTGCTCCATTCCTGCCTGGGAGCGGGGAGGAGTGAGG